TTGTATCACACATCTTCCTTTTCAGTAGATCGTTCCTGTAATCCTAGTGTCAGTTTGCACTAAGACCCACCCATTTGTATCACACATCTTCCTTTTCAGTAGATCGTTCCTGTAATCCTAGTGTCAGTTTACACTAAGACCCACCCATTTGTATCACACATCTTCCTTTTCAGTAGATCGTTCCTGTAATCCTAGTGTCAGTTTGCACTAAGACCCACCCATTTGTATCACACATCTTCCTTTTCAGGAGACCGTCCCTGTAATCCTAGTGTCAGTTTGCACTAAGACCCACCCATTTGTATCACACATCTTCCTTTTCAGTAGATTGTCCCTGTAATCTTAGTGTCAGTTTGCACTAAGAAACAAAGTTATTTAATTTTGAATACTTGTTATGTCTCTATTTATGTTTAAAAACAGGCAAATTTAATACATATAAAATTCCTTCTCTTCCGTATACCAGACTTACTAAGCTAAAATCCAGGGTTCGATGCCCCTCGGTGTACAGAATGTAAAGTAGCCCAGTGTGAAGTTTTGCGATGAAAAATCAATAACAACAATATATATATTGATTACCTTCTATATCTTTGACCTTTATTACGCTAGTTTCTAATACTTCGTTATTTTCTATTTTCCTTTGTATATTCTCTCTTTACTCAATAAAGTTCTGTAAATCTATTACTTTTCAATAATATAAACTACTTTAACCGTGCCTATATCAATGTTAAGATTATTTTTTGTCACAGTTGGACATATCCAAATACTTGTGGCCAAGTCCATATTTCTAGTGATGTTATAACAGTTTCAATGAAATTCTTATAGTTTCACTTTGGTTTGGTTTAAATTTCGCGCAAAGCTACACGAGGGTTATCTGTACTAGCCATCCATAATTTAGAAGAAAGGTAGCTAGTCAACACCACCCACCGCTAACTCTTGGGCTACTCTTTTACCAAGGAATACTGTGATGGTCCCAGGCTGAAAGGTCGAGCATATTCGCTGAGGGGGTTTCGAACCCGCAACCCTCAGATTGTGAATCGAGCGTCTTAATCCCCCAGGCCATACTAGGCCTATATTTATTTTATTACATCTATTTCACATCGAAATATAAACTCAGTTGATTCAGATAAACAAAACAAGGTCTATCGTATCCATTAAATTTCTGTTTCTACAGTGGCTCCATCTATGTTAAAGAAAAATTTCAATGAGAGGCAATCCTCCTTTTTTTTTTGCAATAGTTTGTATGGCGTCTTCGTTTCTTACCATCTTCCACATTTCTTCTCGGTTGGTTCCAGATGACCTTATCTGTCCAGTACATATTGTGGGCTTTTTTCCGTTGAATCCACTTCATATTGTTTTTTTTCCCTTACTCCACTGCTTTGTCTGTGATTTTTCTTTTTTCCGTTCCTCCCTAACCCATTGGGTTTGGATTGTTTAGAAACTTTGGTGATCATCTTCAAGAAGTATTTCATAAAAACACGTTCTACTAGAGTTATTTTGTCAGAATGGTTTAGTAAATCTGTATTATCAGTCTTAGTGCGATGCAGCGTCACTAAATTAATGTATTGTCTATCTACCGTTGCGCCATCTTACCCAAATAACTCTTCGTATATTTTCTTGTTTGAGGGTAGCAGTAAAGAACGCGAATCAAGAAATCTAAAACCCATAGTAAAGATGCAGACTTCATTGACCACAGACCGGCACAATAATCAATTACCGAATCGGACATTGTTTTTCTCTAACATAGATGGCGCCACAGTCGACAAAACCATCTAATTTCTAAATTCAAAACGTTTTCCTTAGTTACATTTTTAAAACTCTGACAACAATGTTACAGAGAATGATAACTGTTGATTAAAATCATGTCAGTTGTCTCTTAAAACTGGTACGTAGTTAAAGACGCTTTTCTTCAACCAAAAATAAGAATTTGAAGCTTTTGCATGCATGATCTCATTACTAACATAACAATTTTTTTTAAAGAAGTCAGTCATATATTTTCAAAGTATTTCTTTCCACAACTGATATTCCTCTTGTGTTTTTGCTGTTCTTGTTGTTGTTGTTAAGCGCAAAGCTACACAATGGGCTATCTGTGTTCTGCCTGTCGCGGGTATCGAAACCCGATTTTTAAAGTTATGAGACCTCAGACTTACCGTTGATCCACGGGAGCTCTGGCTTTGAGAAAAATAAAATGAAGGTTCTTTCTATAGTTAATATCCCTACCCCTAGTAGGTTAGAAGGCTTTATAATGCTAAAATTCATGTTTTTATGCCCGCGGTGGGCAGAGCACACATATCCCATTGTGTAAATTTGTGCTTAACAACAAACCTTTTTTTTTAAAAAATTCGAAGAGCTACATGAATGTATCTATATGATTTTTAGAAAGCATATATTGATAAATTGTAAAAACAGGAAAATAACAATTTGATTATGTTTATTTAATTTTATTAGATTTATGCAAGTAAGATTAGCTCACCCTAGCTAGTTAATCCTTATATCAATATATTCTAAATGCAGAATTTAAAATTATTTGGTCTTCACATAATATTTCATTTTAATAACATAAACATTTCGATTTTTTTACTCACCACACTAGGGTAACAATCATAAAGTGTTTTCTCAGAGTTGGATAGCGAAACAGAACAGTCATGTTGTACGTTGTTTCCACCTCTTTTTTCATTGTTTCTTCTATCTTCTGTGGGGGGGGGGGAGAAGATGGAGATCTGATTTACATTCAACACAATATGAGCAGCCTGAAGGCTTGGTCAATTCAGCAAAACAGTTTAACATAGAGTTATAAATTTGAAAACAACTAACGGTCTGTAAGGAACACTATTCTTACTAATAACAACATTAAAAACTTGTAATAACGTTAAACATTAAAACTAACTCTGGCATTTAAGGAACACAATTCTTACAAATAACAACATTAAAAACTGGTAATAACGTTGAACATTAAGACTAACTCTGGCATTTAAGGAACACCATTCTTACTAAGAACAATACAACAAATTAATAAACTTGTTGAAAATAAAGACTCTCATACTTAGCTGTAATGGCAATTTTTTATAATATTAGGAACAGATGTTTCGCTAACAGTTAGACTATGTAAAGAAAATTATTCTTGCTAAAAATAACACAATAACTTATGATATTTATTAGCACCAAGACCCAAAAACTTACCTACTAGGAAAACTTTTCTTAATAAGTTGGTTGGATGTTTGGTGCTTTATGGGGCAAAGCAACGAGGCTATTTGCGCCAAACAACCGGTAAAAACAGTAAAATTAATTCGAGTAAAATGTAAAAATACAGCGAGTTAAAACCAAAATATGTCGACAAAAGCTTTATATACAATCAAAAACACAATTATTGCGTAAACAATTTAAAATACAATCTAGTCGGACAGTGTCACCATCACCAATGACACTATCCAACATCAGGGGTAAACTCTTACAAATGACGTGTCTAAAATGGTACCACCGCTCACGGTCGTAACGACGACACGACAGTAAAATGTGGGCTATTGTGACTTGAGTGTCACAATGGCTACACATCGGTGGGTCAATACCCGATAAAAGAAAACGATGGGTTAAAAAACTATGACCAATGTGTAGCCTTGCCAGGACTACTTCCTCCTTCCGATCCTTACGGAATCAAGACGGCCAAAGACCAACAAAAGGTTTGATCTGGAAAAGCTTATTATGGCGTTGCTCACTCCAAGTCGACAGCCAACTGGCACGAAGCCGCGCCTTGAAGACAGGATGTATGGGACAAGCACGGCCGTGATGGCACCAGAGCAGGCGGACTTAGCTGCGGTGTCAGCGAGCTCGTTCCCGTGAATACCGACATGGCCAGGAATCCAGAAAAACTGGATGGAAATAGAAGATAGCAAAAAGTGGGCCAATCGGTGTTGAATATCGACGAGAACAGGGTGAGAACTAATGTTAAGCGATTCCAGGGCCAGTAGAGA